AGACTACTTTGTATTTCTTCAGTCACAACAGTCTCAAAGTCATGTATAGAGAGCTTTGTTCTATTCTGTTCTGTTCTGTTCCATTCTTGTTCTGTTCTCACACTGTTCTTGTTCTATTTTTGTTCTGTTTTTTGTTCTGTTTCTTTTTCAGTTTTGTTCTGTGCTTGTTCTGTTCTTGTTCCATTCTCATTCTGTTAGTTTGCCTTACTTTCAGTATACATATAACCTTGCCTCTGTTGTTTACCTATCAATACTGAGTCACTTTTATTACCTTACAATTATCACACTTGTACTTTAGTAACATTATACATTACTATAAACATACAGAAAATACTATTCAAAACTATAGAGGGGGGATTATATTTGGCTGCTTCTATAGGCAGCTTTTACATTGACTGTCTCACTTACACTGGTTCAGTTGTTCTGAACAGAACATCTAATTCTGTCCATCCTTCCATCCATCCTTCCAACACCTTGCCTTCATGTCTATCCTAGCCTATAACTACTCTATGTCCTATATTATTGTATCCAACATTGTATAATAGGCAGCCACCTGCCTTCTGAGGACACAAAGCTTGTGTTTGAGCTCTAGATCCTCTCAGAACTCACTATTGTCTAATGAGTGTTCTGAGAGTTCACCTAGAAGAATAATGTCTTTAAAAGCTATTAGTATTGATTTTAGAACAACTTACCTAGATCCTCTAGACACACTCTTTACAGTCCAGTCATAGGGTACAGGTTCATTACTATTGTCCTCCCCTGCCTCAACCTTACATCCCTCACTACCTTACTAGTCTTTATAAGAGAGTAACAGATCTTACTCTTCTTACATACTAAGTATACAATTGTCTCACCATACTCTTGAATGTATACTATATACTAACAGATACAGCTACTATACCTCTGACTTGTCAAAGGTGTCAGGCTACTGTCTAACACTGACTCTAGTACTAGAGAACTGTTCCAGAACCACAACTCAACCTACCTGTTTTCAACCTTCTCTACTACCCAGTCTGTCTTATAAAAGTCTAATATGTACAACACAGAATGCCTCCTACCTGAATATATGTAATCTGTATCTAGATTAAGTGACTAGTAGTAGTCAGTCAAATCATTAATAAGTAAAGAAGGGACTATGTACTGCTTGAGTTGTTCTCCTCATTATTCTAACAGTCTGGTTACACTCCTTACTACTTACAAAGGAGTATGTCCAACCTCTTGTTATCCAGCATTTGATCCTGCTTGTGTGCTTAGTATGTAGACAACTCACACTCTAGCTTAGAACCTAGCAGAATGTCCAGTTCACCCATAGGAGCACCTGTCTCAGCATCCTGGACAGTACACCTAACTATATTAGACAGTCTTAGAACTACAACCTCTACTACCTGCTTTGTTGGAGGAGTAATGCTTGGTTTGTCAACAGTCATAACATCTTCATACTCTTGAAGTGGTTTACTGATTAGAGCATCCTTGCAGCTACTGTACTCTGTATTGATTCACAACACCTATGTTTTGAGTTAAAGTATAAGCTACTATAGTACAGTAAGTACAAAGCTGGCCTACACACTTGATGTAGTGAGTGTATCCTAATCAGCCTGTAGTGTCTTGTCAGAAGACCCAGAGACAATACAATGTCCAAGCACTTACCTGCAACTGCACCAGTTCTGCCCTCCACTCTGTTACTACTAATAGCTAATCTACTGTCCTTACACACTGTAGCAACTCTTACATCCTTTGTACAAGAGCCTACACTCAGTTGTAGACCTGATTCACTTCTTACAACAACAACATGGTTGAAGAAGTAGGACAAACTCAAAAAGAAGCAGAAGATTGAAACATGAAGTGTGCTAGTTCACAAATTTACACTCTTAGGTGTGACTAGGGACAGTCACATTCTAAAACACCTGGGAGATGTCATGCTCACACAACACATACATTCTAATACATTCTGATCAGAAGGGCTCAGTCACATCAAAGTCACATCATCCTCATGTCAGCAATCCTTTGATTACATCATCATTGTCTACACAATAGTCTTGGTCACTCAACTCAGACTAGTTAGGTTCTGGACTCTAGTTCCAATTTATAAAGGTAAGACTCTGAGCCTTCAGACAGCTAGTCAATCAATACAAAGGGGACTTGGATCCAGGGTCCCAGATGGGTTGATACAAAGGAGACAGTAGTAGATTTGTTCACAAAGGACTAGTAGCTACAAAGGACTCATAATTTCTATAAATACCCTCATGTAATTTGTACTTTCTAGCAATCAAGTTACTCTCTACTGTAACTCTTAGTGTGTAGTTTGACAGTCTCATCAGTTAATGTTCCATATCACCTTGTCTTGTCTTATATTGCCTTGTTCTAAAGTACAGCTTTGTTGTTCCACACTACTCTTGTCTTGTTAATTGTCACCTTCAGAACTTGTATGTTCTGCTCAGATCTACCTATTCCTTCTCACTCTTGACCCCTCTTAGTGTCTGTACCTTACAGACTCAACTGACCTCTTCTACCTCAACTGGTACTTGAGATTGACAGTATGTATGAATAGTCTTAGCTATCTCCCTCTCAGCTTTGTTCTGTAGTTCATCCTTTAGTAAGTGTTTGAAGTACATAGCTGTAACACTAGAAACAATGTAGTAGTGCTACATCTTGTAGTTTGCTTCAGTCTTAAGCATTGTAATGTTTTGACCAAAGTATTTAGGTACATTGGCTGGTTTACAGTGTGTATCTGTACATAGGGGAACCATGATACAAATGTGTACAAGTGTATGTGAGTAAAGGGTTTAAAGTGTACAGTGGATGTATGTATGCAGGGAGCTCAAGGCTCATAACCTGTTAAAAGGTGAAGCTTAAGGGGGGCATGTATAGACAAGGGGTAAGGTAATGATTGACTGCTCAGTGTCTCTTGTCCTTATATTGTATGTATTCTAACTAAGACATTATAAAGTCATTGTCTTGTAGTTTGTCTGTTAATAAACTAATCATCTCATAATAGTAATACTCAGCACCTGTGTAGAATTTATCCAGAAGACAGTGACAAGTCTAACAAGAAGAAATAGTGGGCATTGAGCTGATACTGTATTTCACTCAGAAACACTCACTTTAAGAGTATTTACAGTCTATAATTACTAAAACTCATTATTATTTCACAAAAAAAATACAATTAGAAAGGTCTTCATATTAGCTACAAAACATATGTTTTAATTTTTTGTAAAATTAAAAAATAAATATTTTATTGAATTTATGTGTGAAGGACTCAAAACTGAGTATTTGACATAATTCACTAGGAAACACACACTTGTGGGAAACTAAACTTAGAGAAATTTGCATGTGCATTCACTCAGTACACAGACTCGACTTCAATCCTATCCAGACCAATTTACTTTGGTCTGGGCAGAAATAAAGGTAAGTACAGTCTATTAGTCATATACACTCTATTAATTAATAGAATATATGGTCCTTTATACAGGAACAGGCTTGTTGTGATGACTTAGAGTCTCTTGCCTATGTTCTAATGTCTGCTTCTTACTCTCCTCTACCTCTTGTTTTCCTCCTCCTCTGCTTCCAGAATTCATTACACTTATTATAATTATTAAAGAATAATAAAGTAACTTACTTTTTAATAATCATTCCAACTTTTTCTTTAAAAAGTTTATGAGTTAAAGGAATAGCTCTAGAAGAAAGAGATTTGGTCTAATCTTTTAAAATAGTTTCTTAGGATGAAGATAAAAGTTGAAGAGACGAATGAGAATTAAAACAATTAGAAATGCCTTTAAGTCTTCTATTGATGGAAAATCTTGAAACACCAAATTGCTTTATAGTAGCTGATTTAGAAAGAATAAATCTAGCAGAATTTAGGATAAGTACCAGATACTAAAACTGCCTAAACAGCTTGACTTAGCTTAGCCTCCTCTATATCAGAGAGGGCTTTACTACTGGTAATAGAAGAGGATTTAGAAAGCTTTCTAGCTATAAGAAGCAAAGAAGAATAAAGGATTTTGAAGGGAAGAGAAGATAATAATGAATGTAAAGGAAAAGAAAAAACTTCTCTTCTTTTTTTCTGTACTATGTCAGTTGCTATGGTGATCACTTAATACTGAAACATATAACCTCTAACATACATATGTTTTACAATTTTTTTAACTATAAAAATTGTACTAATAAGTAATATAGTAGATTATAGTACTTTTTATATATATAGTTTTGATTTAATTATGATAATTTTAATTCTTAGTATTTTCTCTTAAAATTATAGAATATTATAGAAAATATGTAAAGAATACTAGTACCAAATTTTTATATATAGTTATAATAGTAATTATTGTAATAAAAATTTCGTAAGTTATAACTATAAATTCTGTATTATAGAAAATAGTAAAATTGGACTTAAAATCGTATTCTTAATAAGTAGCTTAATACTTAACTATTAATTATATAAAAATATATATAGTGACTACATATAATATAGTACTCATTCTAAAAATTTCAGCTACAAATAGTGTCTCCTTAAATTAATATTAAATGTGTTGTGTGTGGGAAAACTTTCTGTTCACTAAATCAGTGCTGATCATCAAAATTCTAACATTCCAACACTAATATCTCAGCTTCAACTCATTGTTTTTTGCTCAAATTTCGTATTTAAGTTATATCTACTGTAGGCTACCTGTATGTAAAATTTCAAGAAATTTTACTAAGAATTGAGGGGGGTATTGTACAACTGAGCGTTAACTGGTAACTGAGCGCGAACCGGTGAAACACAGTAGCATAGTGGACTGAGCATCATGAGCGATGACGTTCAAGTCAGGTTCCCAAGCTTGGGCACGTGACGGTGCATTGACTATGACTATGAAGGACTGAGGATGTGCAGCGTTCCTCCTGTTCCCATCTTGATTCTGCTGTTCGTTGAACATGATGCATTGATATCGGGCACGACATAGCAGTTAAATCTTAACTTTCCCGGCTACGTAACATCAGCGCCCGTTAACAATCACTGCGGGAAGCGCGCAGACCTACATTAATCCGTGACCAAGCTACCTCGAGCAACTTGCCCCAAGCCCATTCTTTCACGATATTCCCCCGGAATGTCTTTGGGTACAGACGTAGCTGACTTGCGAAAGCGTCCATCTCCGACTCGACATCCTTTAAGCCTAGACGACGCTGGCTCAAGCTTGCCGGAAGAGCCTATCGCACAAGAAACCGTAGATGCATTTCATGACGAATTAGACAGGAGCGAGAGGTCGGTGACGGACAGTGAAGCTGAATTGGGCAAGAGGCCATGGTACAAGAGGCCTTCACCATGGTGGTGCGTGTCCTTCTGGGTTAGCTCCAATGGCTGTTTGACTGGCATTGTACTGCAGGATGCTCACGCTAATGCCGATTTCTGCCATGACACTTGCTGGCGTCTCCCCATCCCTTATGCAGGTATATACAGAGCTGGTTTGCAGGGAGATCCGCCAGCCAGTTCCAAATACGACTTCATACGACAATAGTCGAACTGTACCAGTGCATGTTCTTCCCGAATACTCCTCTGTCGCAATCGTGGACGATCACGACGATACATTCAACTTCCTTGCGAAACGTCAAGCACATACATGGCTACAGGATGGCGATAGCCAGGGGGAAGAGGAAGATTGCTCTCGGGACCCTGTTGTCCAAGCAGCTGTAGCAAGACTTTTGACTGGTTTGTTTATGCTACTTGCGAGTTCGGAATAATCTATTAACACGATGTGGAATCCAATCAGCCCTACTTACCACGCTGGGGATTTTGAGTGTCATACTTGCAGCTACCTGGGCATCGGTGTGTTTTTACCTTCCAAACTCTGTGTGACGGTGTTAATGTTAATGTATCTTCAGTTATCTGACCGCCTGGGACGTCGGCTTATCCTCACCATTACTTCCTCCGCAGTCATTATTTGGTAAACATTATTACCTCACATATTGACCTATCTAACAAGAAGCTACAAAGCTACTCTATTTATATTGTCATTTACTATGTTGCGGATCGTCTCCCAGGAGGTTATTGGTTGCTCCTCCTTGGCCCGATTGTCCATGGGCTTCTCGGAGGTCCGTACGTTTCATATTCAATAAATATATCCGGGCTCATTTTATTCTATCCAGGGACTGCTGCAGCGACAGCTACTACAAATGCATATATCGCGGATTGCACACCAGCATCCGCTCGTGCTCGAGTGTTCTCACTCACTCTCGGATTACGTTTCATAGGAATGGCCATTGGACCAACGCTCTGTTCGTTGATTGTGAGTGCTACCGGGACACCCATAGCGGCGCTCGTATTGGTCGTTGGAACGCATATTGCTTATGTTTTGACGATGATATTCGTCGTTCCCGAGTCTCTGTCCTCTGAGAAGCGCGTAGAGAACCAGCGTGCTTGGCGTGAGGCAGCGCAATCCTCGACCTCACGGAACGACACTGCTGCCTTCTCAAGTGTTTCGCAGCTATCAAAATCACTTTGGAAGAGCATAATTACATTTATTCGACCTTTGTCTGTTGCCAAACCCATTACCATTACTCGACCTTCTGGGAGGAGGCACAAAGATTGGAGCTTGACGTTTGTTGTGGCGAGTTCTGGAATCGCTTCAATCATCCTAGCGTCTTATTCGTCGATGTTCTTGGTCGCTATACGTACGTTTGGGTGGACCGCCATTGAGGTGAGCATTTGAATGTCTTTCGTGGCTTGTAGTTAACGATCAAGAAGCTTGGATACTGGTATAGTGGAATAGTCGCAGCACGAGCGCTAACGCTCACCCTCTTCCTGCCGGCTATTATCAAATTGTACCATTACTACACGAGTCGGAGGGAAAAGTCCGTCTCCAGTACGACGGCAACGGACGCAGAAGCGAGCGACGCAACGCCTCTCCTGACGGATGATCAGGACGCTTCTTCACCTGAACCTTCCACCCAGTCTCAAACACAGGCTCGGAAGACACCAGCGTTCGATCTTGCAATTGCACAAGGCTCGCTTGTGCTGGAAGTCGTCTGCTACGCTCTCGTCCCTGTCATTTTCTCGTTTGGAGCGATCCCGTTTATCATCCTCACCATTCTCGCATCGTGCGGGTCAGGTTTCGGACCCGCGATCCAAGCTCTCGCAGTAGACCTGTACTCAGCACGAGGTGGTACAGAGACAGGTCGTCTGTTTGGCGTGTTGAGTGTTGTGCAGTCAATAAGGTACGGGTTTTAAGCTGTCTATCTCTGTAATGGCGCATTTACACTTTTTTTGTCTTTAATGCTGTAGTTCGCAGATCCTCGGACCTACGATCTACGGGCTAGTCTACACAAAGATTGTAGGTGTCTATCCAGAAGGAATATTCTTCGTCTCTGTCGCAGCAGTGGCGATTGCCGTGACATTCCTCCTATTTGTCGAGCTGCCTGGAAAGAAAGAATCACAACGGGGAGAAGATAGAGTATGATTATATTGCCCGATTCGTTTTATTCTGAGCTAGAAGGAGGAATAGAATATTCAGGAGGACTAGATTAATTATTTCAATGATGGCATCGCTTTTCTTGTATTCTCTGTAGCAATTTTGACACTTGTTCGCTTTGATGTATAGCTTTTATTGCTATGAGTGATACACTTGACAGATGGTAGTCCTTGACTCTAACCGGCGCACGAGGAAATTGTAATTTACTGTAAGAGACGTAGATTCGAATACAACTGAGCCCACCAAAATCGGAAGTATGCACAATTTGAAAAGATGATCCAACTGTTTGTTCCCTGGATTGATGTCCTTGATTGCTATGGATGATACACTTGAAAGTTGATAGATGGTAGTCCTTGACTCTAGCAGGTGCATGAAGAAATTGAAATTTGCTGCAAGAAAGATTGCAATTTGAGTCGACCAAAGCCGGGAGTATTTCAAATTTGATAAGGATGACTCAATGTTTGGTCCTGGGGGTTGCTGTATGTACAAACAGCAGTCAGGCACGTGGGCGATACAGACGTGAGAGACTCCTTCCTTTTCTTCAATGACGCCCTGTCCTTGAGCCACCGCGTCGGCGTCGGAGGATCAGAGTCAAACGCGCCTCGATGCTATTATCATCAGTCGCGTCCCTGCTCTCTTCATCGTACAAATCTACGCGTCGTAAAAGCGTCTCTGTCATAGTATATTGATAAAAGAACTCTCTGGATATTGCAACGATCGAAGGACGCGTTTTACACGCGTCTGAGACAGACAACACGCATAAAGCGAAATAAATAACTATGGAGGAGCCAGAACATAATGATAATGAAGAGGAAAAGGCATTAGCTACCGGATACACCAGGTGCGTGTGTTCTTTATCGCATAACATGTCACAATGACAAACAGATTATACTCCGCGTGTAGTGATTCCAGCGTCGAGTCACAATCGGCACAGCTTCTTGCTTTCGTTTTAGGGAGAGCGGAGCCGCCTTCGCACGCGACCAAGAACAATGCTCAGCCCCTCGGCAACGCGAGTGGTGACTGGAGCGCTTCGTCTGCTGATCATTCTGCTGCTGCAAATTCTTCAAAAGGTTCCGTCGACGCGTCTTCTGCTTCCGTTAACGTCAACCTTGCTCCGTACCACTTTCACGGCTTAGCGTCCACCCAAACGCAGTCCCCTACACAGATTATCGGGAGTGACGACTCACAGAAGGAGAACGAAGGAGCACATGGTGGTGTTCCTTTTGTAGCCTCACGGCCTCCTAATCCTGTGCAGGTCTCTCCGAAAGCCTCTTTGACTCCGTCGCGGGCCCAAAGTACAAACGGAGTTGATTCTTCTTTTTCTGCTGGCGCTAGTGCTACTTCTACAATTACACAGCCGACAAAGGCTGTTTCTTTCCTTTCTCCTACGCGGCAGGCCTCGCTGCAGAAGGCACCTACAAAGGCAGCGTCGACTATGCGGTATCGTCGGCATCCATCCCCTCCCGCCCCTTCGCAAGACTCGTTTGCCGGTCCTACCGCTTCGCAAGACCCGGACCTCTTCGTCGCGACTGCTAGACAGTTCGAAATCCCTTTAGACCAGCTCGGAAGGTCGCATTCGCAAGACCGGTCTCTTGTGGAGTCTCGTGGTGGGAAGAGTTCAGTTATCAGCTCGGAACCAGGAGTGACCAAGCAGCCGATGGACGATTATTCATTATCGAGCTCCTCTTCAGCAGGAAACATCCTCGTAGCGAATTCCGACTCCAGCGGACCGTCTCAGGACTGTCATAGAGAGAACATCAACGTCTTCTCAATCAGCCAGGAGCCAACGCAAATACTAGGTGACGCGAGCGACGTAAGTCAATCTGAGCATGCCGACAACGAAGTTCCAGTCAGCGAAATAGCGAATCGCGAAGTGGCCACGCGAATTATCGATGACTCAATGCACGTCGAGCCTGTGAAAGAGCAGACTTCGCAGGAAGCTACGCAGCTAATCGAACAGAGTCCGTCCATGGAAGTCGGGACGTCTCCACCAGAGCCATCGGTCGTATCGCAGGGTCTGTCAGCACTGAGTCTCGTTCCTCCTGAGAAACGACACAGGTACATGCATCACTTCGCGGACAAAACAAAGGGTGAAGGTCCGTCCGAACCAAGTCCACAACGGGATACATCTGTCGAAGCCGTCGAAGCAACTCTTACCACGGTATCTCCACTCTCGGACAAACGATCTCTCCTCAATTTCGTTTCTCCAGAAAAACGCGCTAAGTATATGCACCATTTTAATGAAGGCAGTGCACTGGTATCGGAGGCGAGTCGGATGGCGACGGCGGGTACGTCGCTTGGGAATAGGATATCGGAGAAGGCGAAGTCTCCAGCACCAGTGCCTGTGATGGAGGAAGTCGTACAGGATTCCGAGCTGCAGGTTGAGATGGAGATCTCACCTGTGAAAGAGAGGACAAACCACGACCAGGAGGTCATTCCAGCCTCGGAATCTGAAGCCGCTGACTGTAGCAGGGAGGACGATGAGTTGAAAATGGATCTAGAGGCAATAGCTCCCATGAAGGTATTTAGAATAGCCATTCCAGCATCTAGTCTTATCGCTCAGTTCAACCATAGTCGCCCCCGAGTGCCAAAGCGAAAGGGAAGCAAAGGGCGGAACCTTCGCCGCGTCCTACTTCTCCGCGAAAGCCTGTTAGTACGGAGCGAGGTAAACGACCTGCATCCCCAACGAAGCCGAATTCGAACGCAACGAACGAGGCACTCTTGAGCTCTCTTGAAAAAGCGGTAGCAGCTGTTCCTTCTGTTCCTGATACTCAATCAGGACCTTCGAGTGATCGACCTGTCTCTGCTGGTCGCGATGTCGAAATGCCACCTCCAGAGACCAAGCAAGTCTCTCCAGCCCGGGCTGCACGAGCACAACCTGGCGGATCAGCAAAAGGCAAAGCCGTCGCTCGAGGAACCGAACCGCTGCAGCCAGTCGCATCGACGTCAGCAGCGATTGTGCACCGTGGCCAATACTCTCCAATCCCAGCTCTCCTGGAATCAGAGCAGGATTCACCCGAGATCCCACTTGCACGTTTAATCCACCGACGCAAGGAGGAAGAGGAAGAGAGTGAGGCCGAGGGTACAGAAGGAGGCGTTCCTGAAGAAGAAGACAAACCTCGCAATGGTAAAGCGGGACCATCCACGAGGAAACGGAAACGTCGCACCACTGCTTTGACGACTAAGAAAGCAGGGAAAGGGAAAGCGCCCGCGTCACGGAAGGGACATACTCGAGCAACGTCGGCTGCTCCTCCACCTTCGAAGAAAGCCCGAACCGTGGCCGCAAGGAAGTTCGGTGCTGGTCTCGGGACGCAAGTCTTCGCGCTGTTCAAAAGCGACTCGAGCTTCTACGGAGCTGAAGTTCACCAGTTGAACGGCAATCGCGCACACGTTAAGTTCTTCGATGGATTAGAAGATACGAGTCTCGGTGTTGCGCAGATGCGGAGGTTCGAACTGAGAAAAGGCGATACTGTCATTCCGGGGAATAAGACCTTCAAGGCGAAAGTTATTGACGATAGTCTATGGGCTACTGAGAATGAGGTTTCTGTGGAGTATCTCGAAGGTCCGGAAGAAGGTCTCGAGTTTAACGTGCCTGCGGATGGATTACGCATTCCAGCGAGGATCGTGCAATCTCAGTGGAAAGACCGGACATTGGGCGTTTCTGAAATCATCCCAGCCGTCCAACGAAAGGCTCTGAAAGACACTCCCTCTCCATCGAAGAACTCCGTGATGTATGCTGGTTCAGCGAGAGCCGTGCGGAACAAATTACTCTCCAGACACGGGATTATCATCACCCAAGGTCCAGGAAACCAGAATTGGTCTCGTGAAAAGGAGAAATATGTCAACATCGTTAAGGAGAACGGTGGGACTGTCTTATCAGACTGGACGGATATACTTACTTTGCAGGGGAAGCACACCAACGGGAACAAACGATGGACGATTCAGCGATCGGACGTAAAGTACGTTCCGAAGGATAAGAATGCATTTGATCGTGTATTCCTCATTTCAGACGTACACAACCAAAAACCCAAATTCCTACTTGCACTCGCACTCGGCATACCCTGCGTATCAGTCGACTGGCTCGACCGTATTGCTAACAGCAACAGCGGCGATGAAGATAATGATGAAGAAGGAGAGACACATTGGTCGAATTTCTTGTTAGCTGCGGGACATTCGGAACCTTTGGGTGCGCGGATTTCTCAGATGGTGGATTTGGATTGGGGGAGTACGGCGGAGCATTTGACAGAGATTATGGAGAACCCTGTCCCGCATAAGGTGTTGAGTGGGAATTCGGTGCTGTGTATTGGTTCGGATTTGTTTCCGCACCCTACTAAGAAGGTATGTATCTATAAACCCCTTTCGTCCATTTCTCTTTCAACATGGTAACTAATAACACGATTCTAATAATAGCAGGGCAACACTGACGCAGACAGGTACCTCGAAGCCAGCCGCACCGTTCCGCGTATCATCCTCGCCATGGGTGCAGACCGCGTCGAAGCCGTCACAGACGCGAAACACGCTTCCGAGGACCTCTCATCATATGATTATGTCGTTGTGAAAGAGGCTATTCCAGCCCCGCGTGTGGAAGATGCAACTTATGTTGACGTCACTTGGATTAAGGAATGTTTGATTGCGGGGAGATTGTTGCCTCTTCCCGAGTAGGAGTAAATATCGTTGGAGGAAAGGAGATTTGATTGTTGGCGTCTTTGGATCACGTATTGCATCTTGCTTTCGTCGGGCTGGATGGACCCTGTTGTATATTGCTCTATCTCACCCTGCATTATCTTGCTAATATTTACTATTTGGTATATCTTACACTCTTTTTTAGTGGATATCGTACGTTTCTTGCTATGCTGCATGCTTTCTTCTGTGCTTAAACATACTAAACTCACCTCCGCCTTGCTCTTGTCCTATATCGTAGAACATGTATCTTGTATGTTCTTTCTTGCATCTCCTCGTCTTGCACGTAGTCCATAGTACTTCGCCTAGCACAAAATCATAATGTTGTATATACTAGCATTATGCACAAAGGAACACTACAAAACACGCGCGGAAGAAAGGGGTGAATCATGCTAGTATCGCCGTCTCGGCGAGCGTGAACGTTCACGTCTACGTTCTCGGTCACTGTAAGCACAGAACACAATCATCAGTATCACAAACGCCTGTCAAGCACAATAGTAAAGAAATTTGTACATACTCGTATCTCGAAGGATGCCTATCCCTATCATATCCACGATCCCTGTCCCGGTCACGATAATCATCCCTCGACGACCGGTAGTCGCGATCGCCTGGACGAGGAGGGCCAGTGGGCGGAGCACCAGGAGCTGCTGAGGAAGGTGGAGCGACGGCTTTGCGTGCATCACGTTCTTCTTTGAATTTTTGAAGCATGTTGCGGAGTTCGTGGTATCCGAGATGCATCTATTGTAAGAAGGAAAAATAAAAAATATACAATATGAAGCAAGATACGTGTGAGTGACACAAATAGAGAAATTCGTTGCAAGAGGATGATAGGAGATAGGAGACGGACCTTCCCACCGAAATGATCTGCCAGACGTCTGTCGGAGTCGAGTACGGAGAGGTAGGCACCGCAGACGTCGCACACGCGAAGCTTTTGGTGTCCTGAAGCTCCGGACGTGTCTGATAGTTGTTGGAGTTCTCTCTGGTTAACTGACAATCAGCGTAAAGCGAGATGGCCGAAATCGAGAAAGACGCACTTCTTTGTCGGCTTTCTCGCTCTTCAATGCTTCAATAGCTGCCATTTCGCGCATCGATTCGTCGACTTTCCCTTGTTCGCCTAAATGAAAGTTGTAAGGCGACTGACGTGAAGTGAAAAGAATAGCTGACATACCGAGCTGCTCAATCTTTTCCGTACCACCCTGTATAGCCAACTCGATTTCCGCGATTTCCCTCATCTAACAGAATCATGCACGTTAACTCTGCAATTTCAGTGCGCACCACAACGCATGCCACGTACCAAGTTAGTCGTCTTCGCGTTCTCCTCGGGTGTCTTTTCCAACCTCCTATGAGCAGATCGAATACGTCGGTCACACTCATCCACAAAGGAAAATATGTTCGCTTCGTATTCTGCTTGAAAACGCGCGAAGATAGGGTCGGACGGGTTTGCTTCTTTAGCAGCTTGGAACTCCGTTTTGAGTCGCTCCATGTGAGATTTCGGACAAGCGCCTAAGTCCATTTTCTTTGAAATATTAGTCGTAGGATGAAGTAGGTGGCAGTAGAGATGGAGCTTACTGTGTTGGTGAAGAGAATATGGGGACATGTTCCGCAGAGGAAGTTACGACAGACTTTCTCGTCGGACCAATGCAGGTTGGCGTTGGCGACACCCATTGCTTCAGGTCCCATCATTTGCTACAGAGATAATTATTTAGTCCTTCGAGTATGTCAACATTGTATCTCACTTACTTCAAGCAGCTTTCGCTGCATTTCTGCGAGACGACCCATGGATGCAAGCTATTCCGTGGACAAGGTGCTGATTACGATTGAGAGCCAAAAGTTGACAGACCAAAATGGCAATGTGAGACGCGCTTGATTACGTCCGCGACATTTCCCACGGTTCCATGCGCCTTCGATAATTGGCATTATTGGATTTCGGAATATCCCAACTTTACTTTCCTCACGTCTTAGTGAATTTATTTATTTAAATATAATGTTACAGAACTTCTGCTCTTCTGCATTGTACCCAAAAAGTTAACACGTGAATGTACCAGAATCTGTATTCGAAGTCTTATCCCCTTCAATGCAAACATTCAGCGGATAGCAAATTGTACTTGAGTCTTGGGCTGAAAGTGACACACAGGTTTAAATAAGGTCCATAGAATCTGGGCTATAAAAGCAAGCTGCAGGCTTATTTGGAACATTGTCAGTTGATGCCCATTCTGATATTATCTTGTTACAACACGTTGTCTTCGCACCTGAGGGACATACTGTAAGGGGCCTAATTAGAGGGTGTACAAGACCCTTGTAGTCCCTCTAATTAGGTACCTTTTGAGCTTTTCTCCCTAACTGTACTTAATACTAGACTTAAATAGTAAAAAAAATTCTAAGTCAAAATAAAATAAAATAAAATAAGTATGCTGAGTGCCCTATATGGCAACTGTGCCCTCCCCACCTGCCACACCTTGAGCTCACTGTCTCATACAGTGAGCACACACTTTCCTCTGTATCTTACTCAATTCTTAACCAAATTTCTTCATTATTCCTTTAAAATTAATGTAAATTTAGTTGGAACTCATTCATAACACAAATACAATGTTAAATGTATCAATTACTTGTGTATTTGTGTACTATTTGATAATAAAAAATACAACAGTTTCCTCTGACTAAGATTTATGATACTCTAAACTCTTAATACTGTAATAATAGTAGAGCTTATATATCTACAGTATATCCAAGAATTGAGTCTGTGTAATGTATACAAAGGAAGTTACACTATGCTTTATATACATAATTTTGTAGTCTCATAT